CCTATTATTCGTTGGACTAGTCAAGGATTTAGACAGAATGGAAACAGGACTGCTGTTGTTTGGTAATTGTCTGTGTTGTTGCTGTTTAGATTGATTCGATTGTGTCTCAATAGCAGCATTTGCGCATTGCGTAGATACTGCATTTGATGTCGTCGGTTGATTGATTGTACACGAGAAAGACGACGGGACTATAGAACTTGTAGAAGTATTTACAACACTAAAACCACTACCACTGCACTGAGGCCGACTCTGCTGTGTTGCAGGCTGTGCAAAAAGACTACTAGGTAGCGGAGTCACAACAAAGTGTGAACTGCCCAGTTCGTCTGTCCGCGTATCGTTAGAGTTATTGTCCGATCCACTAATACACGCACTACTAGTGATACTCGCCACAGCAAGATCAAAGTCCGATAGAGTATCCGGCGAGAAATAATCAGCAATATTAAATTCTGATGTAAAGGGTGGTTCATCTCCTGCACGATCAGGTTCTACTTCCACACAAATAGATGTTGCTTCAGGCGGGAACGGATATGGAAGCGGTTTTGATTGAGTCAATATTGGCTCTATATCTGAGTCCGTATCACTACTTTCTTCACTTGGACTATGCACTGACACAGGTGGAGTCTTTGGTCGGAAGTGTAACCTATATTATAAATAAATTAATAGATTATTTTTTTTATTTTGAAATGAAGTTTCTATATGTTGTTGTTTAACATACCACTCTTTCTTGACTGAAGTTGTTGACGTGGCAGTTGTATCGGAATCCACTGGTTCCCGTTTTGGTTGATGTATCGTGAAGTCTAAAGAAGACCACATATCATCCATATCAGTCGAACAACGGTCCAATATTACTCTGAAATTAAATATTAAATAATATTATTAAAAAATGTTATTTTTACATAAACATAAAATTTTTATAAATTTAAATATACCTGCCACCCCGACCAATTCGCCGTCGCGCAAAACCAATACATCTTGGTACGGGTTTACTGATGCTGGTCAATGCAAACCTATACTTCTTATCAGCCATGCCCCCTTCGTTTTTATCACACCAAGGCCAATTTCCAAATTCACCTGATACAGGCTGCAAAGAGAAAAGCTCTATATCTACAATCCTGAAAAAAAGAACTTTAAGACTATTTCCACACTTTTAATATAATTCACGACGATTTTCATTGACATCCATGATATATTAAATAATATAGCTCGCATAAAATTAGAAAAAAAACCTGTTTTAAATCCACGTAACATTTGGTTTACATCTGTTTGTAAAAAATCATATATAAAAAAGAAAAATTTGGGAGAACTTAACAGAGAACAGCACTCACTGGTAGATAAGTGCTATTTCTATTTCGTCGGAAAGCGAATTGTCCCTCATCAGCGATGTCTTCATCATCGCGATCCGAGGGAACTGAGGGCTGAGAATGTGAATGTGATGGAAGCGGACCATCTTCGTCTGAGCTTATTAGCGGGTCCAGCCCGCCTCCAAGAACACTAGGCCGACTTCCTCGACCACCTCCGCTACCTGTTCCACTGCGTACACCATTATCTTCCAAACTTCCTCCTCTGCTATCAGTTTTATGTTTCCTTTTCTTATATTGTCTTTTTTCTTTTCTGGGTACTACTTCGTCCTGAAATAAGCAATATCAAATATATCAACACAAAAAATATATCATTATTATAATAATTATATAAAAATTATATATACGAGGAAAAAAAAAATATATTAAAAATATTTACTTTACTACAAACTTTATTTGCCCAATTTTGATGAACACCAAACTGATTTGTAAACAGTGGAGCAAAAGCAGGTCTCGGTGTCTTCAATGCCGATACTTCCGCCAATATTTGCCCATTAAAGTCTTGTGCTTGATATCTGTACAGTTTTTTTAATTATATAAAATTCAAAATCTAGTTTTTCTAGAGGAAAATACAAAAGGTTTGGAAGATTATTTCCACACCTTTTCTCGTATACTTCAATTGTAAGATGTAAATGTTCTCGCTTGGTTTTCTCTCTTCTTTTAACCATTTCAAAAAGGGTAACTGCTCTGCTAAGATCTCTACGGAGCTTCAGCATTTTTTCGTAACTAGTTTCATCGTTTTTGCGATTTTTACGTGTTTGCATTTTTTCCGTTTTACGTCTAAACGCTAAATAAGGATTATTGGCAGCTGAACCAAACCGATGTTCTGTTTTTACTGTTAATAGTAAAGGATGTTGCTGAAAGCATGTGATCATATTAATAAATTTTTATTATTAATTATTTATTATATATATAAATTAAAATTTATATATTATGTAAAAACTTACTGTTTTAAGACGTTTATTCAGCCAATAATCAAACACAGCAATAATTAAATCATCATCTTCTTTCAGAAGTGCTTTAGCTTCATTAAGAGTGACTACAGTTTGTCCTGAACTTTTTTCCAAGCGATCCATCATTTCTTCAAACTGAAGTGGAGTCAAGTCCATTTTACGGCTTTGTATTGCAACCCATTTTTCATCTTCAGAATCCATATCATAGTCCGGAATATCTTGTTCCATTGCAAAAGCTTTAAAAAAATTCCATACAATTATTAAATTATTAATGTTACAAATATAATAATAATTAATTATTGAATATTAAACTTAATTTATTATATTTTCTTACGCTGCATATGTATAAGTTGACGAGGTAGCTTATAATCAGCTGGATATATCTTATCATAAGCTTCTACATCTGTTAAATCAGTTACTTCAGGGGTAGGAATGATTAAACCCGTGCATATTGCTCTTTGCAAGTGATGTTCCTATTAAACAATTAATACAATAAATAATGTATAATTTGAAAAACATAGAACCAATTAATTTTAATAAAATTAAATAAATTTACAATAAAATTAAATAAATTTTAATAAAATTAAAATCTTTACTTTTATATATATTAGTGTAAAAAGAAATAAGAAAAATGATATATCACATTTAAATATAAGATATAACAATGTTTAATAATATATTATCAATAATATATTCGTAAAAATATATATAGAGTACATATTTCAATAAAATGAAATATATGTAAAATACAAAAATAAAACAGAAAAAAAATCTTTAAAATATTATATTAATTATATTAATAATATAATCCATTAAACAAAATTATATTATATTTCAATAAATATATGCATATCATTATCATTTTTCCAATAACATATTATTCACAATTAATGGATTAATATAAAATATGGATAATCCAATAATGTATAATTAAGCGCTTGTTTATATATTTGAGGAAGGAAGAGAACAATTATTGCTCAAAAATTATATTGCAAAATATATGTGCATATAAAGAAATATAACATTATAACTTGAAAAAGCTTAAAAATTAAAAATTCTTATACGTTGAATAAGAACGTTGGAACATCTATTTTGATTTCCTCATTAGTTTGATATATGAAGCTGACAACTGACAATAATCGTAGAACAAGATATATAAAACTATAAAGAATAACAATAACATAAAAAATAATGTTATCAATTACGTTTAACAATAAATATAAGAAATTTCTATACATAATAATGATAAGAAAGGTGCCATCTGCCGGTTGTTTACGAAGATGCGCTTGAGAGTAAGATGGCGGACAGGGGAAACATGCTGGAAGAAGGCTGAACGTTCGACTTACACATTCCTCCTCCTTTTCCATGCCGCTGGGCATTTGGGGCAGAGAACGATTAATGGCCGAGTAATCTGGCAAATCCGGTAATTCCTCGGCCATATAAATCGGCATGGGTTTGGAAGCGTCCAGGGCACGGGCCCTGAACGACAGCTTGCTCATCCTGCGGCTGGTTCGCGTGTTGACAACCGAGTTGGCTGGTGTCGAACCGTGAGGCCAGTCGGATCGGCTCGGGCCTCGGACTTAGGGAACGTGAACCTGACTGGGCCTGGTTGGGGGCCCTGCGGCCGTAATACCCGGCACAGAGAGCGCTCAGGGCCTCATCGTTCTCCGGCCATCGCGCTGGAACACGGTCACTCAGTCACCAAACGAGATATATCACTTCGAAAACATGTTTGCGTGACACGGTCCCTGCTCAAAGCCATCATGGCCGACGCACAGCCATTTAACACGTTCAGCTCGAGCAGTTCCGCGATGCGACGTGCGCCGCGCGGGAATCGGCTTGCTACCGCCACCGGTCGACTCACGAGCGTCTATTGGACGCTCAGCATTTCCCCTCAATACAAGTCTCGTTCACACTACCTACGATTATCATAAAATTCAAAAATCAATGGAATCAAATTTGTTTAAAAATATTTGTTGATTTATAATAACAGTAAAATTAAATGCTGTATTTAGATTTTGAAAGTTTTTGAAAACGCGTGTTATGCTTATATTAATTATTTGACGACATCTAAATAATAGTTTTCTTTAACCTATATTGTTTTATATTTCGTTTATATATGAAAAAAAATTTTTTAACTAAATTATGTTATTAAAAAATGTTTATAAAATTACAATTAAAAAAGTATATTTAATAATTTTTCATTCTTTAAGTTAACATTTTTTCATTATGTTTTTTCATTACTGAAAATACAAATTTCAAAAATATAATAACTATGGTATATATTTATATCTGTTATGTTAATAATTAAATAGTAAAAAGATTGAGAATTTATTAAACTTATAAGAATTTTTAAAACTAATAAGAATTTTTTTCTTAATAAGAATTATTATAACATAAGTATGTTTTATATTTTAAGTACCTATAATTTACGCAAGCGTCGCATATGTGAGGATATTTCAAATTTTAAATTTTTCATGAAATACAAGAATTGAAAATTAATTAATTTTATTAAATGACATTATTTATTGTTTTAATTTACAATATCAATATTAAAATTAAAACACAATTTAGTTTAACTAAATATTCTTCTAACGCATTTTAACATTTTATAATACAAAAAAATATTCTGGTTATTTAAATTTTCTTAGATAATATATATGTGTTAAAATAAAGAAAATTAGAGAAATTTAAATAATAATTATATTATTATATTACAAAAACTAATGAAAAGAATTGAAATGTAAATGAAAAAATATATATATTAATATTTACAAAAAATTCCCTTATGTTGTACAAGAAATGTAGGTTAGATGAATTGATGCAATATATCGAAGCAATAAATCTAACGACAGGTATCAATTATATTATTTTAAAATTAATGTTAACGACAGTTAAGTATTGTGTTTTATTTAATAAAAAAAACCTTTTATTGAAGTTAGATCATATTCGCACGTGTTGATATGGCGCAGAATATTGCAATTCTGTCCACGATTCCTAGGTTATCTTACCATCTTCAAACGCAACTTCCAAACTTAATGATATTTGACGTTTTGCCAGGTATTACTTTTAACATACACTTTCTTTCATACTAATGAGCTCGAATATCTTCGGCTCACAAAACTAACAAGCACGTGTTTAAACGCACTTTTATTACTACGTTTTTCCGAATACTGTATTGCGCATTTGAGATTTAGTTATTGGCGGAAAACTCACCCTGTTTAAATTCCTAACACGTTCTTTGAATATAGTTACATTACATATTATAGTTTTTTTTAATAAATTTTTACTGCAAAATTTTCAAAAATCATTTATAAAAATCTTTTTTTTCGTTTTTATACTAGCTTTATTATACAATTGAATTTGAATTTTTTTCATTTCAGATAAATGTGATACATTATCAAAATTACAAAATGCAGATATATTAATAACTGATTGTGATTTATTTTTACCATATACAAATAAATTACCATCTTTAAAGTGGGTACAAACAGCATGGGCTGGTATTTAACTATTAGCTTCAAATTTAAAAAATAAAAATATTAATTATTCTATTACACGCTTCTCAGATAAATCTTTTGGTTTAGCTATGTCTGAATATGTGATAGCACACATTTTTAATTTTGAACATAATCAAAAAGAGCAATATCAAAATCAAAAACACAACCAATAGATGAAAGATGGAAAAATTTCTGATCATAGATTATTATTTGTGATTTATCTGTAGGTATTTTAGGTTTAGGAAATATTGGCAAATCAAGTAATTATTTATTTTATAATAATAATAATAAAAAATATAATAATTTTATTTATTTTATATAAAATTTGCAATTTTTATAGTTGCAGAAAAGTTAAAAATATTTGGAGCCACTGTATGGGGAATATCAAGAACACCACTTAAAGAAAATTTAAATTATCTTGATGAACATAGAACAATTGTATATTATTGTATATTTATCTGAAATGCTAACAAACTGTGATTATATTATTAATGTTTTACCATCTACACCTAATACTTTAGGATTATTAAATGGAAATGTATTACAAAATTGTAAGAATCGAGGCAGTGTTTTTATCAATATAGGTCGAAGTACAATTATTAAAGAAGCAGATTTATTACATGCTTTTGAGCAACAATGGATTTTAGGAGCAATTTTGGATGTTTTTGAAGAAGAACCATTATCAAAAGAAAGTAAATTATGGACATTGTCACAGGTAATATTATAATAAAGGATAAATATTACTATTAGTTAAAATTAAATCCAGCTTTAACTAATTAAATATTTTTATATAAGTTACTATTTCACTACATATCTCAGATACATCTCGCGCTCAAGATATCGTAAAATTTTTTATTCAAAATTATGAAAAATATATTAAAGGTGAAAAATTGTTGAATACAGTAAATTTAGTAGAAGGTTATTAAATATAAATAACAATATGTAGAAATTTTCTTTAATAATTTGTAAAAATTTTCTATCTAAATTTAATGAATACTTTTAATACAATATAAACTTAAGATAATTGAACATAATTTTATGATTTATAAATATGAAAATAGCTATTTTAATAATTTATTATATATTATAATATATATTATTTTTATAAGATATTTTTTGAAAACATAATTATTCTGTTTCTTGAACAATTGGATTTGGAAATGGTTTCAAACCTCGTATTGTAAGATCATAAACTACTTCTTCCACTTTTTTAACAGCATATTTTAGACCATCAAAACGTTTTCGTAGAGAATCATTTTTCAAATTTAAAAGTCTAAAACCTGCATTTAGATCATTTACAAAACGTGCTATTTCTATAGGTCGATTATAATCACCATTGGTAACACTATTTACAGCAAAACGACTCTGAAATATAATATTTGAGTGAGTAATGACAATATAGTATTGCATGATATGCTTACCAATTCAGCAGATAATTGTAGTAAACCCATTAAGTAATCTTCTAAATCCAAATGAAAACCATCTTCTCTATTATTTTTAACTACAAGTATACATTATCAATTTTGAATAAAATATATTTAATATAAATAAAAATTAAATAAAATTTATTTAAACAATTACATACCTCCTAATATTTCTGCAACAGTTTCTTTGGTGACCAAAACTTTAATTTCTAAATATATTATTAAAGAAGCTAAGAAACATAATTTTTGTGTAACAAAACGCCATTGATCATGAAATCTATAATATTGGTCTTTTGGTACAACTTCTGCAAGTCTTATATAGTTTTTACGTACATCTTTAAATAATTCCCTTGATGTTGCACAATATTGAGATACAACTATAAATGGGAAAAAAATAATAAAATATTTTAATAGTTTTATAATTCACTAGACACACATACTTATGTTTTCTTCCATGTTATTTTCATTATGAATATTTTGCAATATCATCAGAATATCTCTGGCACTTTTTTCAAGATCTTTTACAATAGCACGGATTTCCTTTGGCACAAAAAAAAAAAAGATAATTTTAATTTTCTTCACGTATAATATATTTTTAATCATTATTAAAATTAATTATTTTAAAAAATTAACGATATATGTCAATGCATTCTAACCTAAAATATGTATGGAATTAACAAAAGAAATAATGATAAAAAATAATTCATATTACTTATAATTATGAAATAATTTATTGAAAACCATATAAGATAATGTGATGTTTATAAAAAAAAACCTAAAATAGTATTACAATTATTTGACATTTACATTTTTTGACTTAATTTCAATATATATAATATATTATCAATATATACCTCACGCAATTCTTCTTCGTTATTTAAATAGTCTTGAAAAGAATTAAAAATTTCTGAAATTCCATCACCCATATTTTTGAAATTTAAAAATTTCTTTAAAAAAAATTGCACGTTAATATTTTAGCATAACACTTGCGATAACACTTCAATATCTCCAATAGTAAACAATTTATGTAATAGATGGCGTCATCAATTGTCAAATTTTAAATAAACATACTATTGTACTATTGTAACATTACTATTGTAAAATACAAATATATATAGTATTAATATACTTTTTATATTTTATATTTTTCATCTTATCTTAATATAATCTATAATAAATGTTGATATAATATAAATGGAAACTTATGTATAATTTATAATTTTTTTCTTGTTTTTCTTATTATTATTATTATTTAAAAGATACATTATAATAAAAAATAAATAAAAAATAAATCTATATTAATTGCAATACTATACATATTAATATAATTTACTTATCATATTTGATTTGATAACGTATTTCCATACTCTACTAAAATCACTTTTAAATTTTTTAAATATAATTTTATTTATGTTTAATATGTATAATATATTTAAATGTTACTTAGATATTCAAAAATAAATCTAGAAAAAAAGTATATAATAATATACTTTATAAAAAAAACTTTTTTTTATCATAAAAAAAAATATAACGATATTATACACCAAATATATATATTTCTATATAAAATAATGATTAATATTAACTAATATAAGTTCAAAAAGATTAATAAAATTTATTAGATTCATAAAGAATTAAATAATCATTTTTTATAACAATAATAGTTACGATTAGAAATTTATACAGATCGAGAACCAAGTCCGTAAGCGCGCAAGCTGTAAGCTGCAAGGTCTCGTGCGGTATATAAATAGAAACCAGTAGGTCCTGCTGTGAAGTCGAGGAAGGTGGTTGGAATTCTACAGGATGCCTCTACGTAGCTCTTAGAGTGTACCTCAGAGAATCTGCGGGCGTGTCATTGATCCCAATACACGCGTTCAAGAATCCGAACGAGACTGACTTTATTGAAAAGTTTACGCCCACGTTTATGAGCTCACAAGAGATGCGATCAATTTTAATAGAAGTTCTTGGATAAATTAACTTGATGAAAATAAGAAAAAGATTCATTGATATTAATATCAAGTTAACCTTTTAAGAATATCTTTTATTACTGTTTTATATATGAAAATAACAAAATACATTAAAAATTACATTTTATAAAAATTAAAGATTGAAACTTGTATCTTTAAGCATGTTTTTATATATTTTTCATTTTTCTTGTGGCCATAATTGATTCAAAAGAATAGATGTCCTTGTTGATGACCTTCAGTGCGATTTAAACATCTTCACGCTTCATCTACAATATCCCAAAGTCTCTGCATTGTAATTCCAGCTAAGAAGTTTTAGAGGTAATGATGAAGTTGATTAATTTAAATCATTAACTATTGTAAAAACAATAAAATAATTTTTCAGATAAATAGTTTGAATTTAGATTTTTCTTTTTTAACATATTTTTGTATGTATATCATATTTATATTTTTATAAATAATAATATACATAAACATATATATAAATATCAAATAATAACAACTATTAAATGAAAATGGTAAAATGAAAATGGTAAAATTATTTGCATTGACGTGTACATGTAATTGCAATTAATAGATTAAAAACAAGTTTATCGAAGAGAAGAAAAAAGACGATAAAAATAAAAAAGAAGAAAGCTGGACAAAGACAATCCATTAAACATTCAATTCTCAAAACATCAATCTTAAATAAAATTTTAGATTTTGTAATTGTAGATTGTTGTAAATTTTTTATATCAATGCAATACAAATATAACATTTAATTTTATTTGTATAATTTTATTTTTCGAAGATTTAATTCTTATAAAATATATTTTATTGCAATTAATCTGTAAAAGCTATTCTGCGTTTGAATAAAGTTAAAATTTATTTGAAATTTTTGCATAAAATTCATATATTTTGAAACAAATTCAATTTGATACACTATTTTTTTTTTTTTTTTTTAGAAGAAACTAAATCAGAATTGCAAATATTTGTGTATTTTGCTAATTTCAATTTAAGATTGATAGTATGGATCCTTTTAAATTAAAGTTTCAGACATTTTATAATTAATATTCATGACTTTTCACATTATCGTCATGACTGTTATACGAAGCGTAAGAGGAATCTAGTAGCTTCTCAATATTTGTACGTTAAACAGGCTTCCTTACTCGTTTTCGTCGCGCTAATGTCAATACACCGATAGATATGCAAATATGAATACACCAACGATAAAAAGAATTGTTCGATTCCTTTAGCATCCTTATTAAATACAAAACATTGAATTGTATAGTTTTTTAAATTGCACTACTCTTTGATAACTCTATTCGTATTGTGATTATTCTTATCGTGAATAATACAATATGACGAAGAGTACAAAAACGATGCACTTGTAGTTTGCATCAAAATTAAACAAGCAATATTATACAAGAGACCAACTCATTTCGAAGCTGTGTTGCAGACAGAGCACGTCGATGTGAATAACAGTTAGTGTTCAACATACGCGTAGCACACGTGAAATGCATCAGCGTAAATGTCAGGGTCATCTGCATACATAGTAGACTTTCAAATAAACGTCGATTAAATGCTGATACTTTTATTAAATTAATACACCAAGATATCAAGTTTATAAATAGAATAATATAATAAATATAGAATAATAGTTAATAAATCATGTAAATATTAAGGATTCATAAAAAAAAGCGAATAGCAGAATGATTATTAATTGAATTGATATAAATGTAAAAATTAAAAGATAAAGCAGTTTATTTTAATATCTATAGTTACGAAAGGGAGACTTCGTATGAGTGGCGCCGTGATAAAAAAATGCCCCCAGGCACTACTTTTTTACATCACTGTTGGAGAATTTCCTACCCGCTGGCTGCTCGCCATTACGAATCACAGTACTGGCATAATATCGAACCGTTAAGAGCCAAGAGCGCAACAAAAGAATCCATGGAATCCAAATAAACGTCTTGAAATTATATTGTGCATTTTTACAATATTTTAAAAGATATTATAAAGAAATATGAATTAGATATAAACAACTTACAAAAAATCATATCCACTACGATACATTTTACAATTTTTTTCCGACTTTGATACTATAATCTTCTCTTTAATTATATTTCTATGGAAAAGTATCGGCATAACTATTATTTTTAAAATTTTTTAGATTGATTATGTATTATGATATCGTAGATCTATAGTAATGAAAAAACAAGAATGTCAAAAATTTTGCTGATCTGAGGTGGATGAAACAAGAAGATTATTCAGTAAAAATAAATTGAAATTATATGCATATATCACGCATATATCATGAAATAGAAAAACTCTGATATTGTTAGCCCATATACAATGAGAGAAAATTCTAAATAAGAAGATAATTCAATTCAATTACAAATGAAATGGTAAATGGATTTGCAAAAAGAGATTGTTAAAATAGTAAGAATTAAGAAACAATTTTCTATAGAAAGATATCAAAGAACTCCAGTACTTCGTGTTCAGACACGAGAAGCAAAACACATCAGCAGGGAACCAACAGGTTTGACTTGCTGGACTAGTTAATAAATTACCGTAGTCCGCCGCCATCTTCATCTTCAAAGTTGCAAATGAGAATTCGAAATACTATCAATTGTAAAATAAAATCTTTTGTTACAAATCCAATATTCTGTCAAAAGAATAAAATAACTTCTATACTTAATAGGAATGCTTATTCCTGAAACGAATATGTGCATCTAATTAATGAATAACATTAATGCTTAACATTAATTCAGTTGACCGTTATTTCAAGCAATTATTATATATTGAAAATTATTATTTTTATGTTTTAAAAAATTTTAGTCAGAAAAATGATAAACGATGAAATTCTTTGAAATTCATTTGAAAATTCATTCAAATATTATTGTTCCAAAAGATCACACAATTATTACTATGAAGTTGCAACTTCTTTGAATCTACGTTTTGTCCAATCTTCCCTCTATCTACACTTTGGAGAACATTATAATGTTTCACAAATTTGAGTTTCATTCTTCTGAAAATCGAATAATAAAAATTGAAAACATAGATATGTAATAGTTAAAATTTGGTAAAATCATTATTGCTTTTAAGTTATTATTTTTACATTACATTTTAATATTTAACATGTTTAATATATTATATATGTATTATGTTATATATAATGTGTATAATTTTGATCCATTTTTCGCACATTTCACGCAATCACAAATAGCATAAACATTTATATTAGCGATGCAGCTGGATAAGTGGGTAGACTCACGTAGTTCGTACGACCTTCATAAAAACTCGTCGATCAGAGATTGCCGGGAATGTTGAGTGAGAACTCGCCGTCTACGGGGTGGCGAATAAAAAAGTAAGCGCCTACCTTAGCAAACGAGACATTGATACTAACTACCATGTTGATTAAATGGTAGTACAATAATGAAAACAAAAAACGACACTAACTGCGCGAGGAGATGTACTTAATAACCAAATACAACGACATCTCGTTGTACAGTTATATTTTGTTATGAAAAAAAATAAATCTCCATTTATAAATCAAACAGATTAAAGATAATTTATTTATAAACATTGTCTTTTATTTCTATTAAGAAATTGTTCTTCAGACAATGCAATTCGTTAAAAAAAGCAAAAAGAGGAGAAGAAATTTGCAAAAAGAAATTGGAAATCTTTTTTACAGTGTTGAATTAATGATTTAAAAAAATGAAATGATTTCTAGAAATGAAAATCGTGCGATTGCATAGAAATTCACTGATATATTAAAGTTCTAGCGATTTTCCGAGGATTCAAGGTTCATGCAAGAGAAAGATAGAGACAAAGAGCAGTCCATAGGTTAAGTCCCCACCTAAGAGACCTCAAGAAAAGATGCTGGCCGCTCTCACGTGGTTAACGCACATAGATACATATATTATCCTGGCGCGCGCACACCTTGGCCTCCCGTGGTTCGGCGGTTAGTGGTTAGTGGGTGCACAGGTTGCCGATGTGCGCACATACCGTGCGTGTTGTCAAGGTATGCCACAGGCCAATCCGGTGCCACGTATACCAATCACTG